TTTCCGTTGAACCCTGAATTGCTTATTCCGGAACCCTAATCCTTTTATCTAATTACTATGGCAACGACGGTAATTAAACCGGTACTAATGGGATTCAGGCTGGGTGTAGCACACTGCCTTGTTCGAAACGGATTTCGTTAAACACACTTGGAAAAGTGCACTGAATACAAGCAAGCAGCATTATGTTATAGGCGAGAACACATCAGCTAACCCTGGTCAGGGTCCCAGGAGGACTGGAGGCTATGCAAGGGCAGCACAGGGCACAGGTAGGGTGGGGGTACAGCCTGGACAGGGTGCCAGTGCTTCACAGGGCTGGGGTACACGCTGGATAGGCGACCAGTTCGTGACAGGACTCACACACTGTTACACTATGACAAACTAAGAGTCACCAATTACCTAAACCGTCCTTGGACTGCAGGAAAAGACCAGAGTACCAGAGGAAACAAGAAGAACAAAACGTGGAGAATAGGCAAATTCCATGCACGCAAGGTGAGGACAGGATTCGAACCTCCCACCCTGGAGGTGTGAAGCAGCTCTGCTACCCACCAAACCCCCGACACGCCCCTCCAAAGTCTATAATATAAAGGTTATCAGTCGAAGTAAATACTTTGAAATGATGCGACAGTGAGCAGCTCAGCAAACAGACATGGCGGAAAATAATTACTGCATCATCCCCCAGACTCTAAGCTTCATCAGGCGCTAAAAATACACACCAACCTCGGTGCTCCGACTGGGAGGACAAGTAGGACGGCAGTGCGGCGGTTTAACGGGGACATGATGACGGCGGGATTCTTCAGCCAGCAAACCGCTACCTGCCCGCTGCTTTAGCACCAGGAAACAGAAGATCTGTGTACAACTGCTAACATTTGGAGACCATATATTATGTTATTTTAGCCTGGATGAATAACAGTTAACTGCACATATCTATAAAACTTCACATACAGCGTTTCACATTTTTTATAATTCCTAATGTAACGCTGACTTCACCTGATGTCACAGGTGAACATTATCAATCCTGCATTTTACTCCAACTACAGGTATCCCTCACTTGACAAACGTTCACTTTGTGCCACTTCGCTTTTACGAAAAACCTACATTAGCACCTATTTTCTCTAATCCAAAGAAATCCCAAGAAAATATTCACTCACACAGACACCCCTACGCTGTAGGAAATTCGGAGTCATCACAATCGGCAAAATTCCTCTTTCCAAAGCCAGGACACACTATGGGCGTTTTTGCACAGCATCAGGTTCCGAACTTTTGGTACGGTACTTTTCGGTACTTTCCTTTTCCATCGACATCTGGTTGAGTACCAGCACCAAATGTTCCTGTATCTAAAGTGCCAAACCAACTCGGGTACTTTTTTGGTACTTCGGGGTGGGACTTAAAACGCTTTCTTCGTCGATTGGTTACGCAAATAGCCTGTCTCTGAAACACAATACAACCGCTGTCGTGAAAAAAAGATATCAACTCAGAAAACAACTATAAACGAAGTAAAAAAAAGGAAAGTAATAATAATGAATGCATGGACAAATGAAGTAACACAACCTTTAAATTACAATCTGGTCGGAAGAACAGATATAACGAGATCAGGACGACATGACAAGAAAGAAATAAAATAGGCCTATTTTGTATAATATATTACGTAGGGCTGCCACTAATGACTTTTTCTATGGGTTAATCTATCGACTATTTCATTGCAGGGCTTTACAAAACGGACATCGGCGTTTCCGCACTATACCGACATTACTTACGCACACTATTCCATAAGCAGATTGCCTGCCTAAATGAGTAATATGATGTGTATTGTGACACCCAAAAGTTAGTAATCTGTATAAAATGCTTATTAAATCCATTTAGCGGGGCGTGCCACATGCTACTGTCTTGGTAAATCACGGAAGCGATAAGCACTGAAGTGGCGATGAAAAGAGGGACAGCTCAGCAGCCGTTACATCTTTTACAAGAGGAGATACTGTAGTAATACAAGGTAAAAGACGTTGGTGGTGTGGCGATACCTTTTGCAGATTCACGTCCGTCACATTGTTTTGGTAAATATACTTTTCTTTTTTATTTCATGAATTCTTTTCTTTTTTTTTCGTGTCCGTTTGTTTTAGTTTTACCTTATGATAACAAGTCTAGTCCCTACAAGCCCAACACACATAAACACACACAGGCACCGTCAATCAGAGTAGAATAAGCTCAGAATCTAACCTAAACATTTTCACAGACACTTTATTCAATGGAGATTCCAAGGTAGCAAGTAGACAACTTTACTCATTATTAAAGCCACAGATTTAGCAGCTATAAGGACAAACGATATTCCAAAGCCTTTCGCCTTTTCCGGTGGTCCATCATCCAGAATAGCACCTGTGTGTTTTCTCTTCTGGTGCTCGTACACAGCTCTAGTACTGCTGTGCTATGCCATCGAAACTTTGCACAGTGTAAAACCATCTTTTTCGCTTTGTGATCATTTGAACAACTCCCATAATTACATAAAATTAAAGGAAAACATTTGTTATAATGAATGGAAGTGTTTTAGAAATAATGAAGGTGTTTTTTTTGTTATTTTAATAAAATTACCAGTGGAAAACAAACACCTTGAAGTACCGAACTTTTGGTACTTTCCTGAAGTACCAAAGTTCATACCTGTGCAGTGGAAAAGCGCCCCAACACAGCTAGGAAGCATTCCACAGATTCCGTTTTTGAGGAAATCTTGGGAAGAAAGGCTGTGTCCTTTGGTACACACCACAGGAAACAGGAAGTATGCAGTCAGAGGCGCGCAGAGCTCTGAATAAAGCATGAAAGAGAGGCGGGGGTGGAGTCACATGACCCCCCGCAGGTGGTCTGACCCACTCGGTATTCACTCATCACAACATTCAGGCTGCTAATTCATCTGTCTTCTAACCACTTATCCTGGTTGGGAGAAATACTCAGAATGTAAATTTGTGTCTCACTCAGATAGAATGAGCTTGTAACCTTTATTAGGAATCTGGAAAAATACTGACATCATTTGATGAGTATCACCCCTTCACATAAAAATAAAAACACCATTCTCTCCATTTTTTATGCTTTATTCATAAGTTATAAGTATCACTGCTAGTCAGCATGTTAAGTCTCCTCCACTACTGCCTTCATCATCTCCAGCACTGGCTTGATCTCCTCCATCAACACTGCCTTCAGGTCATGCTCCATCTCCTACACAGTATTTAACACCTCTTATCTCCTCCAACAACACCTCAGTCTCCAACTGCCGCAGCTCTGCCTTATCCTCATTCCTATCCGCTTTCACCTCCACCGGTGCCATATTCACTGTAATCTCTTTCTCTGTTGCTCTCGTGTCCTCATCATTCTTTTCCTCCACCACAAACATGGCTCTCCTCTCTCTCCCACCACAAACATGGCTCTCCACTCTCTCCCACCACAACGTGGCTTTCCTCTCTCGCTTTTCAGGTTCTTCCCCTGCTTCCTCTGCCACCATTGGGTTAGTTATACAACAAAGTGTATTATTAAATTATAGCAGCAATTCATATTGAAAATACACCATCTCTCATGCTATAAATAAATGGATATGATCAAAAACGTCATGTGAGCATATAAAGCAAAAGTTCACGAACACCGAGGCATCTGAAACAGGACCCATCGTAATTTAAACATAAGCTCATCTGATGTAGGACTGTTATGCAGCAAATGAAATAAGAATAATTAAAAGTTAAGCAATACATAATAATAATGTATACCAAACAAATCGCGATTAACGCCGGCGATTTTCCCAGGCTTATCGGGGCTCTCAATCTGCAGCTTCCAGCAGTTTCTCACTGCCAGCATCTATCTAATGCGATGACCGATTACAGCAGAAAAAACTCCAGAGAAAGCAGCTGAAGAATGGGCGGTAGAAATGTATTCATTTAAAAAATAATACTGTATTTCAATCTAGGTGTCTCAGATGATGCATAAACTAATTGTTATGAATGCAAGTGGCTATTAATGCTGAGTAATACTGAATGGCGAGGAACCGAAAGTCAGAGAGACATATGATACACGGAAAGCTGGGCTGGCGGCTCTCACGCATCTGGCGTGACAGTCACGCCTTCAGGCTCTTAAGCAAGCAATCTTACGGCAAATATATATTATTCCATTGTGAATCCAAAATTAGCTACAACAGAAGCGTTGGGGTAGTTTGCAAACCCTACAGTTTAAATTTTAAATGTGATCAACATGCAAAATACTGGTTTATTTCTCTGACATACAGTATACTGGGATTTCAAATACTGGGCTAGTTTCAACTTCCGCTGGGCGGATTTTAAGCAGACCTTGGGCTGGAGATTTTTGCTGGACCTGGCAACACGGCACCGAGGGAATTAGCGTGTCCGACTAAAACACAGGAAAAAGCAGGGCGGCACTGGCTACATGGCATTCCGGACATTTTCCCGATGGGTCTGTGGATCCCAAATCCCAGGGCCGACTTGTAATCTTAGCCCAGCCCTGTTGAAAAGTACATCTAATGCATTAACTAAGTATTAATGACAGGCAGTATTAAAAGGTAACTGTCAAACAAGCTGGAAACGCCCTACAATCATGACTAAGTAGACATGCATCTAGCAATCCGTTGCTGGATTTGCGGGAAATAATACTAGTCCATAAAATCCATAATATCCAACAGGCGCGGGGCTTTTCACCTCAGCCTGAGATCACTAGTATTGTTTCTGTTCATAACTGATATAACGCCCATATTACTGCGCAATTAAATAAGACAGAAAGGCGGCGGCCGGGTGCTTAAAGGGTGGGTATGTGTGTGTGTGTGTGTGTGTGTGTGTGTACACTTGCATTTCTTAACACGTTACACAGTTTCTCAACTGGGGGAGCACGCACTCATTACAGAGCACATGTGCACATAAGTCCCAAAGTGAAAGGCGCAGAGACGATGTCGCAACATCCTGGTGCCAAGTTTAGCGTCCCGGCTGCAGGCGCCGGTCACAGGCGTTGCTATCGACGTCTCTCACCTTGTGCTATAGCTATGGACTCGAAGCGGTGTAGCTCCCGCAGCAGGCACGTCCGCTCCGTGGGATGCAGGCTGTAGATGAACTCCCGTGCGCCCTGCGGCGAGTTCAGCGGCTCCATCGGTTCCTTGTGGGGGTGCGTGCCCAAGCCGCGACTGTGCACGGGGGTCGGCGTCTTGGGCGCCGTGCGGAGGTCGCTGCCGCGGGGAGCTCTGCAAGCTAGCCCGGATCGAAGGGCAAGGGCGGGTCGCAGGGCTCTCTGCAGGCGGGGCAGCATCGTATTGGGGTTGGGGATCCTGCAGGATGGGACATAAGCCAGATAAATCAAAAGCGCCTGATAAGCTGGTCTAAACGCATCTGTCCGTAACTTTCTTGATTAGAATACAACTTACAGGGTGGCATTAAAACCATTATATTTATCTCTTATTCATCTAATTAAAGATAAATCGGGCTCTGCTAAATATTTATATATATAAAAACACATGAATGTGACTAAATGCGAAGTAGCAATGACTGGTTACGAAAATATGCATGCTATGGCCGTTCCGTTACCCAAGCAGATACCAGCAGCGAGGACTTGACATGACCTTACTGCGTCTCTTACTACGAAAAGTTCATCTCTAATAAGTGTTTGCTCAAGAGATAATAAACCCTCCCAATGTCAAAAACTACTTCCGAATTTATTATTATGCCAGTGACCTGGCAACAGCACTCAGACTTACTGGCTGTCAGCAAGATATCGCCGGTTGTTTGTTATCTATGCTTTGTCGCCGGGCATTTAGCTCCTCGGGAGCGTTTTCACAAAGTCTCCCCCGTCCTAAAAATCCGCGATCGGGGTAAGAAAAAGGAACCGATCCGACACATTTCCTATAATGACCATCAGCTATAGTTTCCACTCGCCGGGATGAACGCTTTCCCTCTGGATGAGCCGTTTAAATCGCCGTCTGGTGTCTCTCCTCAGCGCATCCGCCTTTTACATAAACCTGCAAAAGAGTGTTGTCGATTATTTCCTCCCGAGATCTGCTTTTGCCCTCGCCGTTCCCGAATATCATCTTCTCAAGGTAACGTTCTTCCAGTATACCCACCACTGGTCCCCGTAACCCTAACCATCAGTGAGTATTGCAGGGCATCGAAATACGCCCTCTCCAGTAGAGGGGTTATGGGAAACGTAGTTCCGAGCAGCAGTCTAACTCTAATGTGGGATGGAATGCATCCGTGTTAGACTACAATTCCCACAATGTCGCTGAAAAAAGGTTGTGCGTCACTTCCTGTTACCGGCGCGACTGGTGTATGTTTATACAAGAAGAAAAAGACGTTGTAAAACATTTGGGCGTGTTTGGATTCTATAGATTTTGTCATTATTTTCTGTCTAATATAGTTAGTATATTAGTTGTTAAATAGTTTCAAAATAACCCCTTGGACAGAGGTAGCAGCATGCATGCTATAAAAACTTAAAATACATATTACCATCCATTGTCCACCTTAATAAAACCCAGTGTACTTGATTTATATGTTTCAAAACATATTAATGGAAAATGTATTTTAAAAGCCATTCTGTCATCACCGAGACGTTGCTACGAGCTGTATAATTTTTTTAATTAATCAAATAGGCCTTTAGTACGTAATATTACTTGTTTGTCCTACAGTTACTGTCACAACCTACACTTTCTTTAATCTTACACTTAATTTTACACTTTAATCTATCTATTCGATGACAGAGACAGTGGCATTCAAGTCAATTCACAAAATAATCGCTGTGCATAGTATCTAGTACAGACAATAACACAAAACAGATTAAGTGTATATATTTGCAGATGTGAATACATAATTCTAATAGTGTGAATATAACGAAAATGAAACTACTCAGAATATTCACTCATGTGTCCCTAACTTTTCGTTATTTAAAATGGTTATGCGGTCTAGAAATGGAACATAATTATACATATTTAGCCTTAGAAAGTGACTCATTTCGTTTTCTTAGACACTGTCATCCCCGACAAAAACATCATCTGAGTAAAATAACACAAGCTTTAAAAAGACATGGAGACCGGTATGTTTTATGATACATATTATTATCAGACCTGTTTTTGAGCCGCTTCGTCGAGGAGAAACTGGGACGAATCATTTTACACCGAACTATTAAGTAACAGCATCCAGACAAGATACATATATCTGATTTGAATGACCCAATATATACAACTATTAGGTTAAGTAAGCGTTTTTGTGTTTGTCCTCATCGCAGACTTTAACAACGATTTTGTCGTCAGTTTAACTACGTTTTAAATTACCGATAGGCCATATTCTTTACCCGTAGTGAAAGCCTGATTGGAAAAATTGAGCACGTACCGAATATTTTTTATTTAGTAAGCCCGAGTTTCATCAGCAGTGCGTCTACGAGAAAGACGGTACATTTTAGGTACATATTTTAACGTGGTTCTATACGCGTATACCTTCAATGGGAACCTTCCTATTAGGAAACACCACCACCTAGCGGGAGACATACTCAACTGTACACACTCAGAAGTTCATAGAAACGGGTCTTAATCCAGCTACTAATGGGAGACGCCACCGATTTTCTTTTCGCTCCGATTCGATCCATTGCCAAGGTCTGTCTCGCTGATATCGAACCCGATGGGGGGGGGGGAGCAGCGGATTGATCATTACATTTCCTTGGTCGGCAGTTAAAATCGGCAGGCCTATTTTGTCGTCAGAAACAATTCTCAGAATGAAACATTTAATATCGAAACAATCGATATTTCAGCATCCATTCAGTCGCGTTCGCGGTCTCTGCATTGATTAATAAAAATTCATGTGAAATACACGTAAATTTTGCTTAGCTCTCTCCTGTTTTTGATTTTACCGCATTCACACACTGAGGTACCAGGTGTGATGTGTGACACCCCGGATCATACTCGAACCTGGCTCACTTACATCTTCAATAATAACAAAGAAGGTATCCTAACAAATCATCTGGAAATAGGGAGACCAGATAATCCATGTCAGGGAGGACACTGAGTCATTTCAGTTTTTACAAACTATTTTAAAGCTGAAAGGTTCCTACATGTGCTTGATCTCAATTTGTTCGCAAGGGCTGGTCGTAACTCAAGACTATTTTTCTCATAAGAATTAATAATGGAAATACCCATTATGTGTTCCGAACCTCCCAAAGCACGTTACCTAACCTTTTCATAATAATAAAGGGTTGTACTATGTGCGATGTGTGTTTTGCTTACAACTGCACAAGCGGATACACGTTTTGGCCTCGACCGGGATTCGGGTCCTAACTCAAGACTTTGGTCATAAGTCAAAACTAAAATTTTGGTCATTACCCAAGTTGTTCGTACGTCAGGTCAGTCGTAACTCGAGGGTCCAGTGTAGTTCAATTTTTATTGTGTTTTGACTGGTTTGTTACCTTGGCTGAAAAACTCATCCAGCTGTTTTACATCAACATTAGTGACACATGCCTGATTATAGGAGACTGACCAATCAGCACACAGAAATAACTCAGCGCTTAAGTGAAAACTAAATTTTAGTGTCCTTCCTGACATGGATTATCTGGTCACCGTAATGGAAACACTTAGTGACAAAGAGAAGGGCTGGGTATCTTTCAGCAACTACACAGTGAACAGGTCAGATAAGCAGGTGCTGAGTAAGGAGAGCAGTGCAAACATGCTGTTCTATATCCAACAGGTAAATAGAGAAACACTGAATATACTCTGCCATATTACATCCAGCAGCTAAATACAGATATGGTGAATACATCTTCCCCACTCAAAACAGTTACACACCTCATTGCAATATGCCAAACCGTCATAAATATACAACAGAGTGTTTTGTATTTCATGCTACACTATGAAACACAGGATGCCATGGTGGGGCAATGGTTAGCGACCGGGACTTCAAGTCTCTGCTATGGCTCTCTGCTTACTCTGGGTACTCCAGTTAAACACGCTGAGATTAATTGGAGCTACCAAATTGCCTGTAGGTGTGAATGGTGTGTGTTGGTGCTCCATCCTGGGTTGTTCCCTGCCTTATGTCCCCCACAACCCTGAATAGGACATGCAGTTATTGAAAATGGATGGATGGACTATTAAAGGCTGCAGGTTAGACTTCTTGATGCATGTGTAAAGTAATGCCAGTAATGGCATCCCGTAAGGGAGTCTGTCCCAGAGGCTAAGGGTACAAGGCGGGGAACAACCCAGGATGGGGTGCCAACCCATCACAGAGCACAAAGCAGGGAACAACCCAGGATGGGGCACCAACCCATCACAGAGCACACTCACACGCCACACACACACAATAATGTGTTATTTTGTAAGAATTCTTATTCTGATGCCTCCATTTTGGTGATTAATACTTACAAAGTAGCTGTATACCAATGAGTGTCAAATTACAGGTACAGAGGGTGATGGAGGAGCTTCAGAGACACACACTCTCTGCATGTACCTGCATCGGATGTCACTATCGACTGGGGAGAATGAATTTCAACAAAGGAAATAAAGAGGAATAGATTTATAAGGACAGAAGTGTGTGTTCTCTTATTAAAGCGGTTATACTGTTTTTTAATTAGCATTAAATTACTTGCATGGCAGTATAAATGGAATAGGAAATACTGAGTGACTGGATGAAATAACAGCTATGGGCAAGTTAGTACGCTTCCAAATGAGCTGACAATGAAATTTGCGGTGCAGGCAGATTGACCATCATATTTCCCTTGTCACCCATGTCGGGGCCCCAGAAAGTGCTCACCTTTCTCAACACTTGAACACTTAAGGGCGGTATACCTTACTCACACACGTGCCGTTGCAGTTGTGAATTCTGCTTCTGTTGTCGTTGACGCAACTGCAGCGTAGATGTTGAACATTTCTTGGTGATGTTAATGAGCCTTACCATTTCTTAGCCTTGCATTTCTCTCCCCACGTCGGCAACTTCTCTGCCACTGGTACATGCAGAGCCTAACACTTTCTGAGGTAATACGCCTTTTATAAAGTTTGCAAAGCACCTGTGACATGTTTTTAGATGCCGATCCTTCGCTCTCCACAGACATTAACAAATGATGATCAGCACCACTAATCAACAGATTCAACACTGGCAATATTTTTAAGTGCTCTACTCGGTGCCGTGTACTTGTTTTTAATTAAATTATTTTTTGGACAGCGCCCAGCCATAAATTACACCAGTAACTAACAACAAGGATCAGGCTAATCATAGTTAAATATCACATATACAAGGTCCTAACATGAGAATTTAAAAATATGTGAAAAATATCAGTTTCCAGAACCCAGTAAGTAAAAAGGCTAGAAAATGTGAAAAGCCAGTTTGAAATGAGAAATTTAGAAATATTATACGGTTATATCATATTTGTCATTTAAACATATGATCTGGCTGTCAAGTTTAGTTGATCACCATATATCCTTCCTGTTCCACACATCACCCATTCACGCAGTAAAAACCATATATTTAACTAATTTTGACACAGTATTCTTCTCTAAGGCATAATAGCAATGTCCATTCCAAGGGCTAGCATCACAAAGATCGAATCCTTGCTTAGCCGGATAACTGATCAGCTCAGACTACCTCAAATCCAACAAATTAAGTTATCCGGCTAAGAATGAAATCTTGCTTCATGATACAGGCCCCAGGATGGAACTAGCAATGCTACAATTAGAAGTGAAATACTTTAACTTGTAATTGACCTTATCATAGCATTTTAACTGAAGTTTAACATATTGTATTCACCAAAATCAATCCTTCATTTTGTTTACTGACAATCAATAGTATTTTTAGGAAGGATGAGTTAACCAAAGCTTCCCTTGCTTTGGTAATACATTAAATACCTGCTAGATCTGACTGAATACCAAAACCAAATAAAGGCTAATATGAATGTAACGGATTGTGTTTTTCAGTCAACACAAACCATTAACCTGGAACAGACATTTCCAATGCAGCATTTTAAAGGAAAATCCATTTTATTGCATGTACAATAACGTACACAATTCCAGTAAGGTCACACAAGAGACCAGTAACGACGATCAGAGGTATATCTGTGGTTACAGCAGCCCGTCACATTAAATTAATTCTTTCTGCTTGTCACAGAACTGTCTTGGACGAGTCACCTTCATGATAATCCTTAACGGGGATTT